CCTATCTCCTATCACGGTATTAAAGTTCAATAAATGATAAAACGGTATTTCATGAATCAACGAATGTGTGAAATTGCTTAAGGTCGCTAATGGAGCCCGAATCTAGTGTGTTTGTTGGTTAACTGTTATTTGGCCTGTTTTACAGTTTTAAATGCAGTATGAGGTTTGATGTTTTTATTTTATAGTTTTGTGTGTATATTGTACTGTTTTATTGATTATGGATTGAATGATTGGGATGTCGATGCTGTGTGTTGTCTGTTTGGCATAACTTACTGTTTTACTTGTTTGTATATGGATTGATGATGTTGACTGAGGGAAAAGAGAATGATAGATTATGTAAATGGGTAATTGTATAATGTGGTCAGCCTGACTAGATATCCTGGGAGATGGTGGACGGACCGGGTCCGTAGGGAACCCTACCGGGATTGTGGTCTCCCATACCAGACAGGGTATGGAGATCTTATGTGTTTTGGCGCCCATACCGGACGGGGTAATGAGGTTTATAGTTTTGGCGCCCATACCGGACGGGGTATGGGGACGGCCCTGGAATATGATTTCAAGTGTTAAGGGTTAACGGGTAGCGGGACCCCTATGGATCCCCATGGATACTAGTGGGCTGGTAAATGAGGAAAATATATTGTGTAACAATTGAATTACGAAAAGCTTGATAAGTATTACGTTATACAGTTTATATATGATTTCATAATGATGATGATATTATTGCTTTCGTATATTGTCTTATAAATTTCACCGAGGTAAGTGAATGGTAAAGGTTTTATTATTGATAAAAGGTTTTGTTGTAAATTATGCTCCATTGGTCTTTTTGTATTTTCTACCCACCTTTACCTCCGTGACGGTGAGATATCGTGATGTCTTTACTGGGCTAGTGTAGCTCATTTCTTATTTAATCATTTCAGATCAGGAAGACATTGTTCCCGAGCCAGTTCCGCAGGAGGACGACGAAGGGGACGCCTAAAGACTTCATAGTCATATTTGTAGCTTTTACTTTCAAGTTTCTCCTTTAGGTAGTTTGATCTTTTATATTGTGAGTACGTTTTTGGTTTTAGTGTAAGGGATGTTAATCGAACTTTTGACTTCGTTTCCGCATTTGATATTTTTAATATACATTCCATTTTAAATTTCAGGGGCTGTTACAGTTTAAATCCAGTCCACGAGCATATAAATTGGTAGCTTTTTTCATTTTGCTCCTACACAATTTAATTTTAGTTATTGAATTATCCACAAATTTAAAATTATATATTATGGGAATTTTTTATAATTTAGTTATCAAATTTATAAAATTATTTCAACCCATAATTTTTTTTTATATAATTTATAATAATTTTGGCAGAAAAAACGACATAAAATGTGTATTTTTTAAAATAAAATTATGAAGTTATAGCAACTAAAAATCAACCTTAATGAAAATGATTTTAGTAAAAAAAAAAATGATGCTTTCATTTTATAAAGTAAAATTAAAAGGGTTTAGGATTAAAGTAAAATAGTTAATAATTCAAATATTAAATTTAATAAACCTTCAATTTTTTTTTTTTTTTTTGTGTGTAAAATTTAGGGTTGATAAGAAAATGATGAATGAAGATGAACCGAAGGGTATGAATTTTTGGTCTGTCAATTCATCTGGGTTTAAAAGGCCCAATTGAATTTGATATATGAAATTGTATTTGCAAGTTTGAAAATGTAATAAGAGATTGTAAGACATGTACATTTTTTATAAGCCCTTGAATCTCTATGTTTGGACCATTTGAAAATATAAAATTTGAATAGGCCCCAAGAGTCCAAAAAATAAATTTTTATTTGCCCAAAAAGGATTCTTCAATCATATTATATTAATTATATAATTAATATTATTTATATATATATATATCATACTTGTTTCGGGTTTATTATTTTTTATTATTGCTCAAATGATATTTTGTTAATTACGGATTTTCATCCGTTTTATCTTAAACATAATGTGCAAAATAATAGAAAACCTACCTATAGGGATGTGATTTTATATTGAAATGTTTAAATCTGATTAAATACGTTGATGTTATTATTTTATAAAATATAGATCCGAAATTAAGTTTGGACCAGCAAAAACAAATAAAAAAGAGGCCGGTTTCGATTTAGTGTTTCAAAATCTTTCTTGAACTTAACCTACCATCTACGTATATATTTTTAATATTTTATTACGATTAATATAGTTATATTTATCTTAATATATATAGTCATATTGATATAATTAGTATATATCAATAAAATGTTATTTCATATAAATAAGAGTCATAATTTTCAATAAATTTTTTTTATGTAATAAAGAAAAATATTAAATAAATTTAAAAATATCAATAAAAATAATGATGTGACTCAATATAGTAACGTCAAAATCCAATAAATACATATATATATATATATATATATATTTGTTGGACCAACCTAGTTAGCTAGGCAATGGACAAATACTGAGTAATGGGCCAATTAATACTTGGTCCAATTCCCAAATGAATTAATTTGTCGCATGTATTTCAAATTACTCGTTCAAATCCTTTTCATCAAACAGGTACATGTGAATTCGGGTCCATATAATCACTGTATACTTAAGTACGTGTACATATATATATATATATATATATACATGTTATATGTGTATATATTGATTCCAACATCTCAGAATATCCCCTTAATATTATTTTCTTAGACGGACCATTTAATTCTGGTTCCTTCTATATATATATATGCGTTTGTTTGAATATGATATATACACATACTTATGCTGAAAAGTTATTATAGAAAAATACGTCTGTCGAGATAATTATATAATATATATGTTGTGTATGCATTAGTTATATATAAAAGTAAGAGATATGACTTAGAAATGCTGTAAGAATCACTAATAATGATGATGAAGACTATTACTTTGTAAATTTTCTCACGTGAAAAATAAGAGTTTGATCTATATCTCTGAACTACGTATGTATACATATATGTATGTATATATGTATATATATATATAATTATTTTTGTTGACATATATATATATATATGTGTATGATCATGATGATTCCAGATATACAAACACACAATTGTCAATCCGAATATATAATGAAACGTTTTGTCTTTTTATTGCGTTTTCAATGACATAGTCATGATATAAAATAAAGTTAGATATATATAATATAATGTATGGCTACATATTACTCTGTCCCTGTACCTGGCTACTAATATTATCTAGATATTCCCCCCCCACACACACACACATCTACGGCCTTTACAATGCATCACCCCATTGTGTATGATTCTGACTTTCTGTCAAATTTAACATGCATGCAATACATACATGCTCTTAAAAATTAACTCAAGAACCAACAAAACTAATTATATTCTTAATAATTGTCCGATATACCGACTATTTTTAACTAAATAATAGATATTTTCACTATTTTCTATAAAATTGTAGATTTAAGTATAAATTTTCGGTTTTGTATATTTTTATTAAAAAGTTATTCTACACGTGTTTTTATTAAAAGATTATGTTATCTTTGGTATGTATATAGGTTATACGTATCATTATTAAAACAGTTGTGTTATTTGTAAGAATATAGGTTATAGTTATAAACTTTTTATCCTATACAATCTTTGTAAAATATTATATTATTTGTGTTCTTTTTATAAAATTGTGTTATTATTGATATGCATGTATGTATTGTTTAATTATCTATAAAAAAATTATTATATTTCATTCTGAAGAGCTTGTAATTCAAATGACAGTGTTTTTATTGTAAAACTAAAAAAAATTATAAAAGATAAG